GTTCTGATCAATGAAGTCAACAAACAGCATGGGTCGGTAGTGTGTTACAACTTTGAAATTTCTCTGCGAGTTTTGCGTCTGACCTTCCTCCGGTGCAGATGCATTCGCCACGTCCGCCGGCGCGATCCCGCCCTTGCGCCGGCGTTTCTGCTCAAACGTGCCCTCTCCCGCGGCCTCGTCCAGCTTCGCCCTACACAACCACGTCGCGCCCCAAAAGAGCGCACTGCGTGGTGCAACCCCGGGCTTTCCCTTCCCATCCGCACCGGTTACAGATGCTGGGTCGAATGTCACACCGACGATAGGATCGTGCAGGTGGGCAAAGTGGTGCGGCACGGCCTTACAGAGTGCCCGAGCCCAGCGGGGAAATGTGCGCGCCTCGACGTCGTACACTTGCAGAGTATTATTTGCGAGGCCCAGAACGAGTACGTTCGGCTCTGCGGGGTCGAATGTGAGAGCATGGATAGGCGATGGGAACGTCGGCAGCTGCGTATGGTGTTGCACCGAGTCGAGGTTGAAGATGTGTGTGCGCCGCCGTGCGTCAGTCGTTGCAACCCACTGACCGTCTGAACTGGTGGCCATACGCGTGATAGTCGCGATAAGAGTACCTCGCGAACTGGAGGAAGACAAGTCTTCGTTCTCATATGTCTCCGCCGTAACATTGGACATTTCGACGTCCGGGTCGTTATCATCGCGTGATGCTAGAGATGGCTTCCCTTTCACTACACGACCACCAACGAGGACGTCTCGTATGCGGTGGTGTTCGAACTTGCGCAGGACGTGCGGAGGACGTGAGTCTGACCCGAGATCGACGAATATGATATATGCCGACATCGCTGTCGCTATGATGAGCTTTGACGAGTCGGGGGTGAATATTAGAGAGGACGCTCCGGTTGATACGGTCGACTTAGGAAGCTGGTCGCTCAGGATTTCAGTAAAATCTCGTATTCGCCGGGGCTTGATATCACCATTCTTCTGCAGAATATATAGATGGTATTAAAACATGAGCATCTCATCCGCACCGGTACCACTGACCTCTGGCAATAGCTCAAAAAGCTTCGTCTCGTACCAATCTGCGGCTGCAATCCATCGTCCATCGTCAGAAATAGCACTTGTAACAAGGTTGGTATGGGCATTAAGCTCCATGTCCAGTACCCGCACCCACCCTCCATCGGGGCTTGGTTCGTCAATTTCGTGTAGATCCAGAGGATTCTGCCTTCTCAATATCCGCCAGACACTGATGCTCGCATCCCTCATACACAACAGCAATCGTGCCGTATGTGCAAGATGTAGCGCACTCGTGTGATACGGACCAGAGCAATAGGCAAGCCGCCTGTGGTACGAATCCTCAAATGTCGCCGTCGTGCTAGTATCCAAAGGATTGATGACCTTCGTGATCGTGTTCGCGGCGAGGGCAGCAGGTGTTACGACAACAGACATGTCCAACCCTCCTGAGGCGAGGATGGGTGCTACATCGACAGGGAATTTGCGCTGATGTGGTGTGGCCAATGGTGTGTGGGGGGGCCACATCGCGAGCCCTCGAACATCGTGTGAATGAAGGCGGCGCGATGTAGACTGTACCCAACGAGCTGTGGGTTGGGCAAGGAGAGAGGAGGATGCTTCAGTATGGGAAGCCTTTATATGTGTGTATTGAATAACTTTTTGGTCTACGCCGGAAGAATATACAGCTGTCCCTTCCTGATAGCGAATTAGGTTACCCCAGAGTATAATGAACACTGAAATAGGACTTACCGGACTGACTGCCAGACATAAGACGTCTGCAACATGCCCAGAAAAACTGTCTAGTTGGGTGCAAGTAAGTGGGTCCCAGAATTTAACTATTCCCATCGAATCTCCGGAAACGATAGTCCCGTCACTAGGCGAAATAATAGTAGGTCACTCTGAGCATAACACTCAGGTCGCATACAGTCCACTTACCCCAGCACAGCGACCGCCCACACCAGCGTACGTTCACCCCGGATTTTATCCGTCCCCATTCTATCTAACACCCGTCCGGTCGCCACGTCCCACTTCCTCAGACTAGAGTCCGCACATCCAGCGACAAGCCAGGAATCCGACCAGTCATCGTCATCGTCATCGTCATCGTCGGAATTGTCCGCACCATTGAGCTGCCCGTCTTTGCTAGTACCCCGAGGAACAGATGGACCCCATGCGACGCTGAGGATGCGGGTCTTGACCCTATCGAGTCGCCGGATGTGAGTGAGAGTGTCATGCTCGATAGAGAGCAGCCTGATCGCGCCGTCTTCACAACCGAGGGCAAGCACGGTAGATGCGGGGTTCGGCGCGATACACCAGATGGACCCTCCTTGCGAACTGACAGTCCGCTATAAGTCGTTAAGCATGACGCAAATCTAAAGCTGACGGAAAGCTTACGCGAATACATGCTGCTTCGAGGTCCCATTCTACTAGTTCGCTGCTACCCCCGGCACTGAACAACCTGAGATTTGCGCAGTCCGGTGTCTCATTCTCCCCCACCTGGTCGGGGAACTTGATGGTAAATGCAAGAGAGTCAGCTTTTGATGGGTACGGCCCCGATAATGTCTGTATGTACTTCTCAGTGCCTCGGGCCTGGTCTCGCATTTTATAACATACCTTGCTAACGACCCAAGCCTGCGGCGCCTGGTGTGACTGTTCAGAGCCTGTCCATTCGCATAGCTCAATGTTCCCATTTGCGCGCCCGACAGCAAGGGTCCCGATTTTGAGAGCTTTACGACTGGCAACCTTTTTCTTGCCCTTGACTAATGGCAGTGGAAGAGGGGGAAAGCAGAGTGCAGTGATAGCAGACGGCGAGAAATCGACGAAGCGACATCGATGTACAGCAAGTGGCGTTCCCTCTAGCATATTCTGCGATTCCTTGAAGTGCTGAGGAGTTTCTTTTCCTTTGAACGGAACACAGCGGAGACGTGGTGCACAGAACGCGTCGGGCGAGTGTAACCTTAGAGGCGCGACTCGGACGCGACAGTCACGAGCAAACTTTTCTGTTAGCCCAATCCGGTAAGAGCGCGGGCGACTTGCTGGAACGACACGCTCAGGATTCCCCGTCACCTCTCTGTTTCCCAAAAGCTGACCGCTGCATCGCGCTTCTAGACACTGTCCAACAACCTTTTTGTTTCTCCCGTTGCAATCCTTTTCCAGATGTCGTTCTTGGGACGTTCTGGCTCCGCGCCTTCCTCTGGCGTTAACCCAGAGAGAGTAGAAGTGGCAGTCCAAGAGTGTGTACTATATTCATTTGCGTGATTACATTGGCAACGCGTTCTTATAATTATTACAGGCTCGACATGATCACAGACGTTTTCAACCGCCTTGTCTCGTCAGTCCGACGCAGTACATACTTGTCCAAATCTAACACTGTTTACAGATCATGTCACGCAAAATGTGTCAGTCCTCGGTACGCGGAAGGGGACCTAAACAAGGGGGAGAGTGTCTGCATCGACAGATGCGTCGCGAAATTCTTTGAAGTGAACAAGAGGGTGGGCGAGAAGCTACAGAGCATGGGTGCAAATGCTGCAGGCGGAGGCAGCCAGAGCGCATTTGGCTCGCTATGAGGACAGTGCATGATTGCTGGTTGCGGCGCTGGTGAATAAAGCTGCCACGGTGGAGAGGAATTATCCTTATATTCAAATAATATGCTTCATGGCAGGAGTCCTCACTCGCTGGAGAGACTGTCCGAGATGCATCGGGCCTGCAATTAAGTGTGAGATGTACATGCAGGACATCGTTCAACATCCATGAATATGAGAACAAGCGATTGCACGTCATTAGTCATTTCCCGCTGTTTGGAAAGCACTCGGCCATAGATTTGGAGTGCTTGTTCTGTGCATGTTCTTCTAGCCTGGTGGGATTAACGCGAATGTCAGTGTTGGCGGACCAGAGCACGGTGTCAGGACTGACGCAGGTGCACGAGTGGTTAATAACTAACGAGGCACGTCATTGAGCTGAACGACAAGAAGAACATGATACAAAACTCACAAATGTCTGCTTGCAAGTCTGACAGATTATATTCAAGGCCGCCTGGTTGGTCTTTGTCTGGCTCTTAGCTGCGGATCCCGCCTTTGCAGAATTTCTCTCTCTCTTCTGAGCCGCCTTTGCACCCTGGATGCGACGTTGGCGATCTGATCAGCAAGATAATAAAAGATAATAATAAAAAAGCAAGCCAGCTCACGTTTCCCATTTCACACGCCCGAAACCAGAGAAAGCAAAGAGACAGGAAGTTGGACGGACGTAAGTACGATGAAGCTGTGCGCGGGCGCTTGTCGTGCACGGCGATCGAACCGGCTGTGCGGGCCGGACGTGGCTGAGCTCTCGGCCGCGGACAATCGATCTGGCTGAGAATGGCCGACTCTCAGGGACCCGGGAAAAACATGCAAATTCCCCTTTAACAGGTATATAAAAATCTCTCTACTCCGGTCAGTTGCATGGTGACTCATTTGCGTGTTTTTTGCTCTCTCTCCAGTTACATCTGTCATCCGTTATCTTCTCAGGCGGCAGTCCAACATATCTCCTTTCGCACTATGTCTTCTATCGCTGCGCAAGCCAAGATTATCGACGAGGTCAAAATTGACATTCTCACTCAGACACAAGATGCGGTCAGTGATATTGCCTTTTGATTTGAGTAACTGGCCCAACGCAACCTCGACAGGACAACGCAAAATGGTTGAGGGATGTGTCCCGGAGCTTCGTCTGTAAATACCCCTCCACTTTCATGCGCAGACGTAGTCGCTGAGACAGGTTGCAGCCGACACTATCACAGGTCCGCTTCATTCCTCGCGACTCAAATTGTAACTTCCTTATATTGCCAAATCAGCACCTACGGAGGACATGTACGCATATGCTGTGCGGGCATCTCTCGGCGACGACGTCTACAATGAGCCCTGCACCAAAATTCTTGAGACGCACATGGCCAAGTTGACCGGAAAAGAGGCTGCCCTCTTTGTCCCCTCTGGCACCATGTCTAACCAGCTTGCGCTCCGTACGCACCTCAAGCAGCCCCCATATTCGGTGCTTTGTGATAACCGGGCACATATTGCTAGGCGCGTACTGTCATCTCACTATAAGCAAGAAATGTGCTCATACGTGGGCGTTTAGATATGAAGCGGGCGGAACTGCGTTCCATTCCGGTGCACAACTTGAATGCGTGCTTCCTTCCAACGGTTAGTACTGAGTGCTGCCGTCACGGGCACTATCTTCCGCGAGTTCCTGACGGCCGTCTTATAGGACATCACTTGACTCTTGAGGATGTCCAAAATAACGTTGTCATTAGCTCCGACGTGCACAGGTATGTATTAGATGCGCTGGCCTTGACATACACGATTTGACATACCATAGCTGCCCAACTGCAATAATCGAACTCGAGAATACCTTGAACGGCACTATCATCCCACAAGAGGAGGTTATCGCAATTTCAGATTATGCGCATAGCAACGGCATCATAATGCATCTTGACGGCGCGCGTATCTGGCATGTAGCAGCAGAGACCGGAACTTCTATCAAGGATTTATGTGATCCGTTTGACTCAGTCAGCCTCTGCTTCAGCAAGGGTCTCGGTCAGTTCTTTTACGCCTAACCTGAAGAACTACATTCTAATCGTCGTATCTCAGGTGCACCAATTGGTTCGTGCCTCGTCGGCAGCCAGGCATTCATCACTCGTGCGAGGTGGTTCCGAAAGATGTTCGGTGGCGGGATGCGGCAAACTGGCTTTATGGCTGCCGCTGCCGCTTATGCACTCACGTACAACTTTGCCAAGCTGCTGGACGTCCATGCCCTCGCACGCAAACTGGAGGTTGGCCTCGAGGAGATCGGTGTCAAGATCACCAGCCGCGCTGAGACCTGCATGGTTTGCATTATTAGTCTGCACTCGTCTGCGTTTTCGCTTACAGTCGCTCACCACAGGTTTTCTACGACCCCTCGCCCGTTGGCGTCAGCTATGCTGAGATCGTGAGTCGCGCGGGCAGCCTTGCAAGCCCCATCAAGCTTGGTGGCTCGCGCCTCGTTGTGCACATTCAGACGACCGAAGAGACCATTGACGACTTCCTCGCGCTCGTCCGAGAGCTGGCACAGGAAAAGAAGGCGGCAGGCTTTGATCCGTCGGCACAGAAAGGTCAGCCAAACGGCCGTGCGAATACCAATATCTATGTCAAGGTCGCGCAGGCGGACGTCGCGAAGCTACAGAAGGAGTGATGACTTAGAGGCAACAAAGTATACAGCACACTAGAGAAAATCTCAAATTGGAAGTTCAGTGCGAGAAATGCATATGTAGACCTGTAGACTGCGTAAATTATCAGTAATGGTAGAGATCCCGCATATCATGTATAACGTCTCGTATGTTCAACCCATCGCGACAGGCTAAAGCATCGTTTTCTTGTACTGCATCTATGCTGAACAAATCGTTGATCACATATACATCTTACAATAACCTCATCGGCTTATGGGCCCGTGGTAATGGCAGAGAAGTAAGATACTTTTAATGACTGACAATGATCTGGCGGACCTCATCCTTGTCCCATATACCTCTCCTTCTCGTAGTCCTTCCATAGCGCCTTCATTATTGTCTTACCGTCCGCATCCAGCGCCGATACCATCAGTGCGTCGCGGTTGTATTCTCCCAACATCTCGCATAACGCAAACAGCCCCGAGTGGAGTTCCTTGCGGACCGGCGCTGCGACGTGGCACAGCGTATCGTTCACCGCCTCTGTGTATGCTGTCAGAACGTACGCTGCGTGCTTCGAGAAAGGCCGCGCGAGCGATTCTGCCTTCTGCGCATCGCCCGTTTCGTACGTGCGCACAAGCGTTTTTACAGCTAAGGTTGTCATGAGCCGGGCGAGCGCCTTGCTCTCATGCGCAGAAAGGGGTTTATTCGCGCTAATCCAGCTCGGGAGCGTGTTCATGACTAGTTTAGTCTGTTTCGCTCCCAGATGTGGGCGGATGGCACGGAGACATTTCGTGAGCTGGCAGAGAACGAAGCCCAGATGAGGGAGTGTGTTCACGACTAAGTCACGACGGAGGCGAATAAGTGCGCTAATGATCGACACAATCTCATGGAAGACATCTGGATCGGTTGTAGCAGCATGATCTTCTGATTCTGAGAGCAGAAACCCGATTATCGACCAGAGACTTGACAAATCTGCAGGCCTAATTGACGCGGGCTTAGAAGTCTAGTTAGTACAGGAGATAAGAAGTCGACGGATTTTTACCTTGTCGTTGAATTGACGGCTCATAAATTTAAGGATTTCACGACGTAAGGGTGGACATGCAAGATATTCAGGCTGATCAGCGCACAAGTGGAGGAATTTTGTTACAAAGTTCTGCGTTAACTTTGCAGTTCCTGCGGAAGTCCATTAATCCAAGAAGCGCCGACACGATTAATAATTACCTTCGGGAGAACTGTGTAAAAGTAGAGTGGAGAAATGAACTAAATTCGCGGCGTCTTGGTCCCGGGGATCATCGGTAACTGATAGTGCTTCAAAGACATAGTCAAGGAGGTAGGAGAAATGTGTGGCAAGAAGTGTTTTGCAAGCTCCGGATAAACGAGTGTCGAGTCTCACTAATTCTGAAGCACGATGATACTTTCTGAATTGACCATTTCAGAATAAGATCAAACTTACCTTCATACTTGCAGATGCGACAGAATACCAGATAAGCCGCGCATAGTGTCTGAAGACGTACGTGGTGGCTTTCATCAGCCATTTGCAATTCCGCAAGAACTACATCCAATACGGCAAGGCAATCATCATCGTTGCTTAAACTGGAAGCTCTCTCCAGCAACTGTCCGACGAGGACGTGTCCGAAAATTGGCAAGTCAAAAGCTTGTACACGGGGGTGGAATGTCGGCGAACGTGAAAGAACAAAAGTAGAGCTGAGCACTTGACTCACTGCGAGCACTCAGCCATCGCCCGAGGTCAAGGGTGCACGACCAAGCACGAAGGAAGTGGTTCCGAAAGAGTACGTCCGCGACCGGGTGCGAATAGGCCTTCCTTGACAGTACATTCATTTCCAATGAAAATACAGCGACCATGCGCTCATACAGTTCCAGTAGTTTTGACATGAACGTTTCGTTGAAACTAAACTCATTGATGAGAATCAAATAGTATTTGATAGATGTAGGGATCAAGGCGTACTGAGAGAGATGATGGGAGGACGTCAATGTGCTTGTGAATTGCAGAATGGACTTTTCACGGATCAGATGCGAAGGAGGCCGTTGTTGGACTGGAATGCTTAAATAAATTGAAAATGACTGCACGACTTCCAGAGCCGTATTCTCATAACCAGCCCGAGCATGTATTAAGAAAGATCTGGGAGAAGATATTGATCATGTCAGTGCACTGGAGGATGCGCAATACATAAAGAGAAAACATACGTCATGTACATGCCAATAATCTTCATCGTGACTGTAACTAACTCATCTTCGTGTCCATCATAATGGCTAGCCGATGGCGTGGAGTCAGTCAGGTAATCACAAAACGTCTTAGCCGCCTACATTTCCAAATTTCAACACTTACTAGGAGGTTTAAAAAAAACTGGGACATACCGGATGGTCTATAGTTCCAAGATGTGTATACATTCGCCTGGTAAATTCTCGAACCCCTACAAGGGAGCGCATGCTTCTTTCTCCGAGTATCTCGTCTTGTCGACGCAAAAGAACATCAGAGACTAGCGCTTTTCGTAAGAAATTGGCACGAGAGTTACGCGAAAAGTATTCATCGGGGGCATACAAGAGGAACTCGAAGACCGACGATATTCTTGTCAATTCTGTCTGTGACACTCGCGCTACCATCGCCTTAGGATCAATTAATAGCTCAGCTAAATCGACACTCTCCAATACTGCAGTGTACTCGTTTAATTGGCCCACAAAAGCATCTGAAAGAAATTTATGTGTACTTGAACCAAATTCTCAGCTCGGGAGAACCCACCTCTGACACGTTGCAATTCCCATAATTCAGCGTTGCGCAGCGTCGAAACGAACGCGGTATTGACAGTTAAAACCCGGTGCGATGAGGTTGTGCCGTCGAGTAGAGGTCCACGGACATCAACTTCCAACATAAGCTTTACGAGTCGCAATATTTGATTAGTTGATGCAGACGACCTGTCTCCAAATTTAAGCAGTATCCTTTTATCATGGATCGACGGGCTCACTCCAATAACGGCAACCACCTGGTAAGTAGTAGCTGGAATAACGCCAGAACCGCTTGGGGCTCTCCTGCGGCTGGAGTCAAATCATGCGTCCTGCCGGACCAACTGACACTGCAACGCAGGTGCAGCTCCAGGTGGTGCAGAAGCCCATCAAAGATGAGTTCTGGCTCGATAACGCCATCGGCGGCTTCGCCCAGAAGCACACGGGCCTAAGAAATATCATTTAGGAAGCAAATTTGCGATAAAGAAGGAGTCTTACGATTTCCAGCATATATTCGGGGACTACATCGTCCAATTCCGATGCAAGGATTAGGTCGCGGAAAACATGTTGATCGCAGCGCAAATTAAGGTGTAACTGACGGATCACAGCAAGAGAATGATATACACGCAGGGATGCTGTTGCGACCATCTGCCACCCCCAAGAACTGCGCCGGTCGTCCGTGCTCATGGCTTTGGAGGCACCCTTCAGCGCACGAGGAACCAATGCTGTACATGCTTCTCTGAATGAATTTCGTGTTTCTTCTCGAATTTCTTCCGAAGTTGAATGCATAGGGAGAGAGCTTAGAACCACCACGGCCGCTCTAGCTGACAAACTAAATGTCACAGCTATCAAATCCGGCGTAGAATCGCCTCCAATCACGGGTGTAACTTCCAGGTCCTTTTTGCGCCTTTTCCGCGGCCCTCTTCCATCGTCCGCTGTGCGCTTCTTATCGAGCTCTCGGAACTCCTTAAATAGGGAGTACAATCGTTGGATCATATTGTCCGCGAGTTCCTTTATCTGACCAGGAGTAACGAAACCATGAATCGCCTTTGACAACCGGTCTAGGTAGGGAAAACAAAATAGAGGACTGGAAGCTACGAGTCGGTACACGTGTTGAGGATCTTCTAGACTGCTTCGCAAATATTGAACCGAGAACGCATCGGTCCAGCTATATATGAAGTTTGGTATGGTCCGAGTCTTCATATGATATTCAAGAAGAAGATCCAAGTATGGAAGAGCTGTTGAGTGAGTATCTGGAATCTGTGGACAATTTTTAGCTCTGCTGCATTGTAACTACCGGAAGGATCATACCAGAGCAATTCTTGACCAAATAGTCGAAAATGAGGGAGACATGATATCATAGTCCACGCGCGTTAATGCGGACAGTGCCTCTAGAGCAAGTGGAACCTGTGGCATATGGTCTGATCGATTCAGATCAATATTGAGGACTTTGAGGGACTGAGAATTTGACCTACTATCGTCAGGCGACGCCAAAGCGGCGATGGCCAGTTCGCCAATATGTCTCAAAGTACGCGTGGCGTCCTCATCGTCTGCATTATACAAGTTCTCGTTGTGAACTATGGCGAGGAGTTCAACTCTCGTCCTCCATACTAACACATGTTGTGTGCTGCTGGCAGAAGTGATAACTTCATCTAAGCAGGAAAGGAACGCCATCCCCGCCGTTTGCAATTGCACAATTGCGTTACCAGTAGACACAGCCCGCCCAGAACTTTGACCAAATAGCGCCCCTTTGTAGCGTTTGATGGACTGCATGAAGGATTGATACAGAGATGGGAAAACATCAATGACAGCACTAGGCGACGTCACAGATAGTTTCAATAAAGTCTCCTTGAAGGTGGCGTCACATTTCTTGTCGTCCAAAGCCCGGAGAATGTCGAGATTGAAAAATGTCTCGATGCCTGTGACGAATATTTCAGAGGCGAGAGACTGGTGCCACTGTTGGCTGTCAACTCCGGGTTTGATGCATTGCAGCCAGTCAAAAATATGGTGCTGCAAGAACGCTGCGTACAGCTAAGAAGTGGCCCGGGATATCAATGTTCATATGTGGTCGGATCAGACAGGAAGTTTGGTACCTTTTTTTTGGCGGCCGAGTTGCTGAGTGCTGTCCGATACGAAGATGCGATCAGTGATGCAACAGTACCGATAGCTTTCTGGGAATGACCGAGACGATCCAAATGAATTTTGCCTAGATATGCAAGAACAGCCCCGAGGCACTCCAGTAACATCTCCGGACTAAATTTTGATGCAGCCAAAGGCCATAACACGACAATGCACTGGGATACAAGAGTTGTCAACGGCAGAGTATCATGGTCCACAAGGTGCGACATTGTGAAATAGCCAGAAATTATAGGAGCAATGGGAGTGCGGTTCAGTATAGGCAGGAGCCATGATTTGATGGTAACTGGAGTAAATTTCGCATTCACGTATACAGTTTTGGAGGATGTCAGCACGTCTGCTAGAAGCTTCCAGAATCGAAAATCCAACAACGGGTTCGCATGCCTGTGCATGCGTATATTAGATGACCAGTATCTCCGTAATGTCCATAGGAAGACCACTTACCCCTCCTTCACCTTATCCTTCAATAGACGCGTCAATATCCAATCAGCGATGACCTCGCCTTTGTTTGGAAGATGGAAAGTAGCATCTTCCCATGCTTCCCGTGCGAGCTCAATCTTGAGGGAGCTGTCCAAGCGAGGAGGATCAGAGGGAGCCTTGAGCGCTCGAATGAAGTCCTGGACCGAACCACAGCGAGATGCGGCCATTCTAGACGGTAGCGCGAAGCTAGTGATCCCGTCTGTCACGGAGTTTACGCACAAGCAAGTATAGTAACTAGCTGCGGAATTTGCAGCCCCCGTGTGCGCTGTATGGATGGTTCCAGGACCATACACCGCGCCGTCGAGGCCAGCAAACGTGCAGACGTTGTTTTCTGACAAAGATCGCAGAGCGAGGCCTTGGAGAACCGCTAGGTACAAGGGCCGTGAGAGATGAAGGTCAGCACGGCCCTGAGGTGAGGGTACGAGAAGACAGGAACCTGGCGCGAAGTCGCTAGTGAAGAAACTTGGACTGCCGCGAGAGTGCCGGGATAGGCAAGGGTGGCACGTGCCGCCAGGCAGCGTACCGAGCTGGTCCTTAGAACGGTCTCTATCCGACCGCGGCCCTCAGGCTCATTTGTCCTGACAGTCTCTGGCCCTCGCCCTTGACCCTCCCTTGTTCAGAGCGTGCACCCGACGCTCATCCTTCCCGCGCCGTGTGTCTTGATGGTGGCATTTTGAGCGGCTTGCTGCTAGACAGTCTCGATCATCCACTGCTCAGTCAATGCTTCGAGTTTCCCTCGTGTTCGCTCCGTGTAACAACGGCTTATAGGGCAGTTGAACGGGCTCGGACTCTCCACTCACAGGGGAACAAGGTCCACAGCACACCTATCTACTTATCCTGCGCATCCTCGGTGAGTGCCTCCTTCCTGCCTCCGTATAGTCGCTCATCGACGCGATCACAGTCACTTTCAGGTCATGGTTGCATATTTGTGGCTTGTATGGTATGACTCTGCGACAAAATCGACCCCGCGACACTGGGCATTGGCGGTCACGTATGAAGCCCATGAACAGGCGTACGCGACATTTTACGAGGTCAGACAAGACATGTCGGCCGCATAATACAGCATTAACTGAATGACTGCCACAGATGTTTACGGAGGGCGCCGGTGTGGGTCGATATCAGCCGCGAGTTGTTCGCCGGGTCCACCTGACCAGCAAGCATGGAACTACACCTTATGCGGGAAAGCTACTACTAGGCGAAATCAATGACCAAGTGCTCGGGGCTCTCGAGATGTACAGCGAAACAGCTACAGAACTGGTGAACTCGCATAACAAGAAGCGCGGCGCGAATGAGTCTACCTGTCATGATTGGGCGATAATCATCGTCAGGAGTCTGGAGGACGCTTTGCTGCTGCCTGTGGTAATGTTCATCGATTTTCTGGGAGAGCGCTACTGATGTCGGACACTGCATCCGTGAACAGGGTAGTCTGTCCAGAGTAGAGAAGAGTCCCCGATACGGATGACCGCAACGTGAGAAGATAGTCCACACGAGGAGTTTATACCGCTGTTGAGCACGGCGTGTTATTTTACATTACATTATTCGGGTTTTATGCTGTCATCCATGTTTTGGGTTCATTGGGGTTCCACGGCCAGCTCAAGCTCTGATTGGTTGTACTGAGTATCACTGGTGTACATTCCTTCGACAACTCTAATTCGCTCGGACTCAGCTGTTACTATGTATTTTTGCTTACAGCATTTTAGAATACATTAGTAGTACTCCAGAATTACTTTCTCACATCTTCTTCGTTCATGCACCTAGACCTTGCTTAGAGACACCATCCGCTTCTGGCAAAAAGTACAGAGTTCGGCTGGATGATAACCCTAACCTGAGGCTTGGGGTCGGCCGCACTCCACTCAAAGGGACAATCTTTGTTCTCGCTCATCCGTATTCGGACATTCTTGTTCCCTCCCATAGTCTGCACGCTCAGTCATAAGTAATGCTATCTGGACGCAAATACACTAAAAATGCCGGAGAACCGCCACGCGATTTCGCTCGAGATTGTGGCGCTCCACAGGAACCTTCGAGTCAGCCTGCTGCTCCTTGTATTTGAAGGTTCCGCAATACTCATCTGCTATTTTGATACGCTTGTATTCTATTCAGGTTATTGAAATTAGGTACAACTGGATGTCGTTTCCTCACATGCCAGTGACCCTTCGCAGAGCAACGTGCCATCCAGTAATATCACTTCGGCAATTGAGTGGACAACTGCTCTTTATTTAGGACTGTCAATCTCGTTTTCGACTTCAGGATCCCACCCTCCCACACGTTTTTGAATCTATACGATAGACTTTGTGAGCATAATGGTACCGGCTTTCCAGGCTGGGTCTTGAGCTTGAGGTTTGGTGCCCCAACTACGGAGCAGGTCCGAGCAATCCGGTCCGGAGTGGTGCCGAGTGTTGCCGATCACTTTGCGGACTGATCCAAATGACAAAGAGCACCCGTCTGCCTTATCCATCGACAGTGTCAGCTGTTTGCGTTATACCTGCATACTACTCTGATCTAGCAAGACGACCGCTCTCGATGGCAGCATTGAGACGCCCGGATCAACTGGACGAAGAATATCTCACAGAGTGCGTGTCTTTGCAAGAGGAGGAATGGGAAGTTTTGGAGGTGCCAGATTTGTGCATTATTGTTTGCTCAGACTGTCATTTGCTAATGCACACGCTTCACCTAGTCCATATACCCGGAATGTGTATCCAGTGACATGGCCAATGGCAATGTCAAGCTCGAGATACCCATCGAGTTCCTGGAGCCGAGGTCTATCGCCGTAGTCAGCGATCGTAGCTTGCCTGCCGCGAATGGTACTCTGCGTGCATCAAGTGCTAGCCGGTCTGGACCTTCGCACTTGTCGCTGTCTACATTGCCCCCATTGCTACTAGACGTGCTGTTGCCGCCCTCCTACCCGTATCGTCCGCCGGTGATTGCATCACTACATGCCACTCACTCGTGGTTCACGCTTGGTCTGGACTCGGAATTGCAGAAGAAGCTGCTAGAAATGTGGCAGGATGGGGAAGGAGTATTGTATGCTTGGGTTGAATGGATCCGCGGAGGCGAGTTGTTTGCAGCGCTGGATCTTGTCTCAACTGTGGACGGGGAAGAAGTTATCCGGCATGTATCCGTACAACCGTTGGCTGTGTCAATGCGCTGACAAAAAAGCGCAGAATACCACATCCAGCGCCACATGTGTTGGTTCCAATCCTCGAGGCATACGACAAGTCAATACAGCTGACTCGATTCTCACAGACATCGTATATATGTGAGGTCTGCCTCACGTCCATCAAGGGCGCGCGATGCATCCTCCTGTCGTGTTCACACGTGTTCTGTCGTGCTTGCTTGGAGGACTTTTGGAAGCTGTGCATCACGGAGGGAGACATTGGGCGCGTGGGCTGTCCAGACCCGCAATGCATCAAAAGTGGACGGGAGGCAAATGAGGAAGAGGTGCGAAGAGTAGTTACAGAGGAAGAGGTTCGGCGATGGAAATGGCTACGAGAGAAGCGCGAGCTTGAAAAAGGCAAGTCTGCTGGTAGCGAGATGACGGTGGCGCTAACAATCACAGCAGATCCGACCATCATTCACTGCCCCATGTCATTCTGCCAGAGACCAGTCCCCAAGGGAAACAACGTTGAGGAAGGGACCGGCTGGGAGCGATTGCGGACATGCCCAGATTGCGACTATTCATTTTGCGCATATTGCAAACGTACATGGTAGGTGGGCTCAGATAGTGAACCGGAATTAGTTTCTGAAGTTGTGCCGCAGGCACGGACCACTCTCTGATTGTCCGATCTCGGTGACGGAGACGTTCGTGCTGGAATACCTTGCACTGCCAGAAGGCTCTCCCGGGCGACTCGTGATGGAGCGGCGATTCGGGCCAAAAAACATCCGAAAACTTGTGGCAAGGTATGAGGAGGAACGGGCGAACGAGCGGTGGCTCGCGCAGAGCACAATGGCGTGTCCGAGCTGCCATGTTCATGTAGAAAAGTCGCTGGGGTGCAACCATGTACGTGGCGGGGATTGTCTGGGCGTATCTGGTGCTGATTTGTCACTAATGGCAGATGACGTGCGCAAAGTGCAAGCAGCACTTTTGCTATCGGTGCGGGGAGAAACTGCAGGAGAGCAACCCCTACGAGCACTTTTCGACACCGGGGCGGCAGTGCTACTCGAAGCTGTTTGACTTTCAAAGCATCGAGGACGAGTGGCAGCCAGTGGAGGGCTTCGATCTGTTGTAGCACCGTTCAGTGTATTTTCTTGCAAAAAAATATTAATGAGCATTGGGCCGTCGAGGAGAGGAGGCGGCTGTGCGCCGAGAGGATCGCGTCGGGCGGGACCGATTTGTCAGGGGGTTCAAAGTCCGCCTGGGCGGGAGCGCTGCGTCTGCGGTCATTTTGTTTCGGCCTCCTCCTATACGCACTCTTGGTGTCTCTCCTTGTTTTCTCCTCATCGGCCAGCCTCCTTCTTATCTTTTCTGAGGCTGCGTGGGGCCCTCCCGGATACCACTTTGTCCATACCCCAGACCTCCCCATACCCTCCCTGTTTCTCTAACTCCCACCCCGCATCTTTCCTGTATTTTCCTCGCATCTGTTCTCGCCCACCAGGACAATGGAAATCTACACCACATCTTTTACGTATCCGCGTCGTTCACGGCCCACTCATTCCCCTGCCTCCTCTATCGACTTCTCTGCCGCGTCCGACTCTCTCAGACGCGTCGATTCATATTCTCAACTCCAACAGTACGCTCACAACAATAATCTTTCCGACCCTCAGGGGACTGTGTCTCCTCCCGATTACGATGCCGTCCAGAGGCTCGTCGTCATGGCCATGGGGCGCCATGGTGTCCATATTTCCTTTACCCCTGCCGACCAAGGCAGGTCTTGGAGCTTTCAGATTTCCGGAGCATACCAGCAAGTCATGCTCGCCAAGGGCCTCATCTTGACGGAATGTCCAGTCCCAGTAAGCTTCATATCACGCTCGTGTCTCCTTTTTGCCCTTTTCTGATCAACAATGCGACAGACTCGTTCCAGCATCAAGGCGGCGCGCTCAGATATATTGGATTCTCCATCGTCGAAGCCGGCTTTGAAACCTGAGGTCCGCCGCCGCCTTGACGACATAGCGTCGCAAACGCTGGCGCACATTGCGGTTGTCAATAGCGCCCTTTCCTTGTCCACACGTAGCCTTCCGGATGGCATCAGCAGTAGTGCTGGTTGGTCTGGATTAGAGACTGAACGTGTCTGTGAACTTGTTATAACTGGTACTAGTGATTCAGTGGAGCTTGCGCGCGTCCGGTTGTTAGTGATGTTGGACGAAATGGTGCGTGGCGATACTGCGCATATTGCCCAGAACTCATCTTGCTGCGCAATAGAGCGGTCTGCATGCTGAAACTTGCGAGGTCGACCGTACACTCCACAATGTAGTTGCCGGTAGGAAGCGAGACGTCATACAGTCTATAGAGAAGGAAACTGCCACGAACATATACTTCCCGTCTCCTTTACTGGGTGTTGTAGGCCCTGAAGTCGGGCAGTCTGGCGCCAATTCCTCCCCTTCGTCACAGTTCACGAAATCTTTGGCGAACACTATCTGGATTACAGGCGAGTTCTTCGGTGTCCAGCGGGCACGCGATATGCTCTATCAGGTTTCGTTGACCAAGGTATGAATCTGCATGTTCGGCTGCAACGTGTCACTCAACCATGCGTTAGAGCAAGCAGCTTCTATCGAGGGACAGTGCTCTACTTCCACGCAAAATGGATTGGATGCTTACCGAACGCGCCGATGATCTGAAAAGCTTGATGCGTGATAATGCCACGTTCATTCAGTTTCCTCCTATCGGCAGCTCAACGAGCTTGATCACTGTATATGGAGATAACAGAGTGAACATTCAGAGGACCATTCGTTCGATTATGCAGCTGGTACGTGGCGAGCCCCTCTGAGGTCTAGTTTTGCTTAAGAGGTCGTTTTGGTCATAGGCTTGTCAATTTTACATTTCTTCGTTGTGGCTTCTTCCCGCGCAATACAACGTACTCATGCCAAGCGCAAGTTTGACCGCGACCCAGGTTACGACCATTCTGAAGCAAGTATCCTATGCTACCGGCTCGGAGGTCGTCTTCAAGGGCATGAATTTCGAGATGCACGGACTAGAGCAGGAAGTACGCGCCGCGGTTTCTATGCTTTTGGAATTGGACGTTGTCAAGGTACGAAGGGCTTGCGATTGTGTGTGTCCTATGTTTACGCGGCTTTTGTAGCAATTTCATCACGAGATACGCTTTCAAATCGAGCTCGCCAACGAACACCGCGAGTTCATTAGTGGCAAGAAGAACGGCAAGATTAACAAGATCATGCAAACCACCAACGTGAAAATCAAATTTGAGACCTTCAACGACCATAATTTTCTCATCGACATCGCTGGCAATGACCTATCAGTGATTCAGGGTCTTGGCCTATTACTAGAAGAACTTCCGGCCGAGATTTCTTTCCACGTCCCTGAGGCATATCACAAGCGCATCATTGGAGTGGGCGGGCGGAGCATCCAGCGAATCATGAAGAAGTATGGTGTATACGTGAAGTTTTCAAATGCAGAGGAGTTTGCTGCGATGGGGGGCTATAATGACAACGAGGACAATGTCATAGCAAGAACACCTGCGAAGAACGCTATAAACCTTGACAACTTGAAGCAATCTGTCATGGAACTTGTCAATCCGAAGGTTGGTAAACATGCCTTTCTCTTTAAGCTGTCGCTTACATATATTCTAGGATAAGGATTATATCTATGAGAGCGTCTCTATTCCACGAAAATATCACCGTATTTTACTCGGCGAGAAGGGCATCTTCATTCAGGATATCGAGACTAAGACCAATTCGACGTTCCACTTCCCGGACAAAGAGTCTGCTTCAGATCTTATCTCTATATTTGGGCCAGAGTCCCAAGTTCATATTGCTGCAGCTATGCTTTTGGTGAGTTACAGAGGAACAACATCCCTTGTAGTGACTGACCTTCGTTCGGTCAGGATCATGTTCCCTTTGAGGCGGACATGGCTGTACCCCCGCACCCTGAGCTTTCGCGCATTTCCGCATCTGCTGATTTTGTTACCTTCACCGACCGGATCAAGCGTGAGTACCAAGTGGTCATTTCCGCCAATGTCAAGCCATCGTCCCCTGGAACAGGATCAGACTCTCCTTCGGAATGCTCGTTTAAATTCCGATGCCAGCGAAGCAACAGCGATCTCATGATTACCGCTCGCGAAATGCTCGAGCAGTTCCTGATCAGTCACAATGCTCATATCTATCCCTCGGCGACTTCACGCACGCACCAAAGGACAGACTCCTTTACCGATGCGTTCCCGCACTTCGACAGCAAAGTCCTGTCTACGGCTAGAACCCGTCATCAAAGTAGGTCACGGTATTGTCTTATTCTCGCCAATGCCTCACTCATGTCTTGTAGATTCCGCCGACCTCGGGCGCCCGTCAGAGGCCATGATTGACAGGCGGCTCCGACTCGCAAGCTCGTCTCCAGATGTCAAGGCCTTGTTTAATAACTCTCCTTCCTACATCTACCACGTCGAAGAAGAGGAAGATCTGGATCCACAGCCAAATTATGTACCTGGGCCGTCCGCCGACTACTGGACACCTCTGCCACCGATCGTAAGTCGACGTTAGAATGCGTTCATGATGAGTATTGACATTGTGCATAGGGCTCCGGTGTTCCTTCTCGTACGCGGCACAGCGAGGATGCACTCAAGCGAGGTTCAGATTCGTTGTTGGAAGCGAAACTCAAGGATCAGCTATCGAAGCCACGCTCGTTGACCAACCGTGCTCAGTCGCTTGACCTCACCTACTCTCTGACTCGTATCAACGAAGTGCCTCGACCGTCAGGCCTCTCTCGCCCAGATTCGCCCGACACTGCTACTGGTACGGGAACTGGTACTGGTGGAAGCTCAAGCCCCATCTCTGCGACTGCACCATCGTTCCCCAGCGTATATGGTCCACCCGTAGGTGGCCGAAGTGGTATTGCCTCTGGCTCTGCGCATCTCGGTCGAGGAGGGCTTGTGATGGATCAGGAAGGCATGGACGAAGTGACGAGAGTGATCTCGAACCTAGGTCTTTAGGTGCGCTTGAGAAATTTTCGATGACACGGATTGCAGGACTGGTGCCTCATCAGAATACGTTCATCTACAATGCGCGTATTTCCAAAATGAATTTCCGCTTTCATCTTCCATGTAGTAAAGATCTCAACGGACAGTCGGTGTCAGCGGACTAGCTCCGGTTTCTCTCCTTTTTGCACTAAATCTCATCTCTGGCACTACTGCGCGCACAGCGTCGCGATGTCGCGTCTACGTTTGTTCTCACATACTGCATCATCATCTGTCTCCGTCGTGTCTGTTTCACATAACCTCCACCGTACTCTATATTGATCTACTAGACTTGCCCACTCTGTTTTTTGTTTGTCCTGCTTCAACACATGTTGCGCTGATCACTCGTCCAGTCATTCTACTTATTACGTCGCTGTGTTACATGCGACGACATTTGTACTATACGAAGAGGCTTGTGCCTGCAGCGGCGGGCTGGTCTCCGCGCCGTATACAGTTCGATTTACCTGATTGTTCTGACTTAGTGAGCCGGAGATATGTATATTGTGTGGATGCTGAGCAGACGTTGCAAGCTCTCATGAAAGTCACGGCTACTTTATTTCCGAAGGTTGACTTGGTGTGTACCATATATACAATACCGCTGTGATGTATCGTGGTCGCCACAGCACGCCTTTCAACGTCGGTCCAACTTCCAAGACGACTGGGGACTAAAGAATACGTTCCACGATCCGAAACAACAGCCAAAGGGTAATTTATTGTAACATAATGTCGTAGTGAACACTTCACGAAGACTGTCCGGTACCTTCACGGGCTGTCCAATCGAGCCAGGAGCCTTCGTAGTTGGCAAGCCTGGGGGAGTGTGAACAGTGTCTGAGGGTGCCAGGTGGAATGTTAACATACTTTGTATATCCGTTCCTTTTCGCGATGTCGCAAGCCGTGAACGCACGTTTTCCACTACGGCAGTAGAACACGATGTCCTGGTCCCTCCCAGGCTTCTGGAAACCAAACCTCTCTTGGAATATAACCGGGTCTAGATGAAGCGAACCCGAAAGCACGGAGAGCGGGAGATTCACTGCCGAGGGGATGGATCCCAAACGCACTTCGTCAGGTTCACGGACGTCGATAAGGTACTTGTCCTACCGCAGGACGCCGATGATCAGTGACCGGGAAGGGGCGGACAGTATGATTACGAACTGGGCTAGGCTGTAGAGTCAACGGCTTGAGCTCTTCGTAGGAAACTACCTTGGCATCCCAGTCGCGCCGCAACTCGTCCACAGCTTGTTTGAACTCAGACTTTGGCGCGGTAGATTCAAACCGAACGGTGCGCTGGGGATGAAGGAGCCTGGCGCTGGGTGCCTGTCTCGACCGCGCAAGACCCGCTACAGCGGTGGCAGTGGTTCGTCTGAGAGCTATGCGAAACATGATATTTTCAATGAGGAAATAAGCGTTGTTGAGCTAATATGTGTGTGGCAAGGGAGGATAGCGGTTATGCGGAAACCATCCCAGGACAGGTGCTATGGCCGATAATTAGGCGCGACTTGCGACGCGAAGATGGCGTAAGACGGATGTCCACGTGATGCCTGACCGCGCGGTGGCCAGAGGTCGTCCGCTGTTCGGGGACCTGTACTGCGGGAAATTGCTATTGGCCAGCGCACAATTGTCTCAAGCCTCTCGTCTCTCCTCTCCAACCTCGTTCGCTGCCGCCCACCGTCACCGTTTGCCTCTCCTTGGGTTCCTCGTCTGTCCGGGTTTTCTCGTTGCCTCTGGGCCACGTTCTGCGTTTATCATGCGGGGAAACGGTCAGGCCAAGTGGAAGCGATGTACTCAACAAACTCGACCTGGCCTTTTCTCCGTATCGTCTGCGCATAGGAACAGGAACTAATGTAAACATCGGTGCTCGCCATTACTTCAACTTCAACTATCTTCGTCGTTCATCCTTTCTCAGTCCGTGTATGAACTCCTCCTTTGTCCACATCGGTGTTCCTTACCGCCCTCAAAGCTGTGGATGGCTGCATAGCTTGAAAATAATGTTTGTCCTGTGACGATGGTAAGCTCATCATACCATGTCTCGAGATCTGCGATCTGGGCGGGGGGAAGTGCGAGCGTAGTTCTCTGAAGCTGAACCCCTCCCTCCAACCCGGTCGCTCGGATTTACAGGTAATATATTGCATCGTGATTATTTATTGACATGTCTTTATTTATGCCTCATCCGGCGATGCAATAACCTCCGACTGGTATTGACTTACTGCACAGGAGAGCTTTCAATAGGGTTGGCTGGCCGTCTGCTGTTGGCTGCAGGCTCTGCTTGCGCTTGGCCTTGACTTTGATTTTTCTCGCCTAAATACCCAACCTATTGTTTATCTTCGATAATCCTCACCTGAAGACGCTCTTCTCCAAGACCTTTGCATAAGTCTATGTTCGGGAAATGCCGCCAGGAACAAATACAAACAGGCAAAGCAGGTGGCTGATACCAAATGAGCGTCATTTGGTATCAGCCACCTGCTTTGCTTGTTTGTATTTGTTCCTGGCGGCATTTCCCGAACATATATTCCCTGCAGCGATTTATCGTCGACGTCCTTCCTGCCGTTTTTTTAACTGGAAAACGCCAATCATGGATATGCCAATGTCCTCGTCGATGTCTATGGCGAGCTCTACAGCGACAAGTGCGTCTAGCATGTCGACTGGCATGCCGTCTGGAATGTCGATGATGATGGACACCATGACTCCGTACCTTCACTTCACCGGTGGCGAGAATCTTTTGTTCAAGACGTGGACGCCCTCGTCCCATGGTGCCATCGCAGGTGCCTGCATAGGCCTTGTTGCACTTGCTATATTCGAGCGATGGGTTTCTGCAATGAGATTGTTGCTCGTATGCCACTGGCGACAAAGGTATTGCTGGCTGATTCACTATCAAGACGGAGAGGATCTGATCTTTTCGACAGGACTTTAGCCTATATGCAAGGCGCACTTTCAGCCGATTCTCCGGCATCAACTTCAGACGAAAAGGCGGCTGATATTGAAGAGGTTCATGCAAGCTCACTGTCCGACAAAGCGTTGCACTCACCCTTCTCCTTCAAACGCTCTCTGCGTACCATCGAGCCTTTCATCTGGTCTCACGATATTCCACGTGGTGCTCTTTATGCTTTCCAAGCTTTATTGGCCTACGCACTGATGCTAGCAGTCATGTGGGTTTCATACTGATGGCGCTCAGTTCCCGAGTATTATACTTACGGCCGTTCGTTCCCACAGGACTTTCCAAGCTGCCTTCATCATATCAATTATACTTGGGCTGGGTATCGGCGAAATTCTGTTTGGTAGGATGGCAGGAGGAGGAGATGGACATTTACTGCACTGATTTATATAGCAAATGCGTTCAAAGACGCTTTTGATTGATTTAAACCTCCTTTGTGCATTGGAATACCCGCCGCGTGCCGTTTCAGATAATATTCCTACCGCATCCACTAATCATTCCTCTCGTATGCGTCCGGCAGATGTCGGAGCGCCGCATAAGGACAAAGAGAGTACTAGTAGCGCAATTAGATTGCATAGCAAAGTTGCTTGCCGTGCTGTCAAAGGCGGGGTCACTACCAATTCGTGGATTTTGAGGGGTCTCAAATTGGCTGAACATTACATATTCTATCAAGGAACAGGCTGGATGAACGTATGCTACGCGACGGATCCCATCGCGCCAAGAGCATTCGTCAAGCACAAACAAATATGAGTGAAAGAAGTTTTTCATCACGCTACCCGGCCAGCATGCTCCCCCCCCTAATAAATTCAAATGCTTAGGCAGTTTGCCTTCCAACGCTCCTTTCTCTGTAGCGTCCAGACTTCAAAAGTCTTCATAATTTTTGCAGGCGATCACTCACATGCATACTTTTACCTCCGTCCTTTTCCTGGGTAGCCTTCTGGCTGCTGCCTCGGCTTTTCCACCTTCAGTTCCCTGGACCGAGGGGTCCATTCGTCATGGAGAATGAGTTGTACTTTTGTGGTGAGTTTCAAAATTCCAATACAAGTTAGAAATCTTGTATACGATGACTGTAATTCTTAATAGACAATTATGGGCAGGTCACAACCAACCGTACGACCTTTCCCTTGAACGGTGGCTTCTATTCTTTAATTTCCGAACATCCTCTTTGGATTCGTGAGTTCGAAGCCTGATCTTAATTACTATGACTCTAATTACTCATCACATGCCTACCCTTTCAGTGGGTGTGATAATTTCGACCGTTCCTGACCCGGATAATTTCGCCAACTTCTCAACATCAAGCGGTCAGACTTCGAGACTTCGGGCGAGGGTAACTTCTGCGCATCGATAAATATTAGCGCAGCCAACATTCCAGGGGTTCAAAACGGTTCAAATGTTACACTTCAGTGGATATTCGACGGGGGTGACGGTCAATTGTACCAGGCAGGTGTTATCAGATATATAATTCTTCTCGGATGCTCATGCTATATCATCGTAGTGTGCGGACGTCACGCTGAAGGAAGACTACCAAATTCCTGCGGACTTATCCTGCTCGAACTCCACGCAGAATGCCGGTGTAACTGTCTTCAGCTTGGGATCCGTACCCACCACCATTATAGAATCGGCATCGACAACCGCGAGTAATACTGGGTCTACGCATTCAAGCGGGGCAGAGAGTGTGCGATCTTTTGTTGGCGTTGTTGGGCTGTTGTTGTGTCTTGGAGGAACATTCGCTGCGTTGATTTGAGGGGATGGATGACTTTGAACAATTTAGTTTGTCACTCAATTTAGTTTGTCACTATGTTCGTTGAGGAAGCCTGTTTGAGCTTTTATATTCCAAAATCATCTTCTATTATAAATAAGCATGGTTTCCTTTTCAGCCTATATCCCGTTTGGGACACGGCTTCTGCCGTCCGCTTCCCGCTCTTTCAACTTGCGTGTTATCATATCCTTCTTGCAATTATCTCACTTGATCTCAGAAAATGTACCCTCTTGCGCTCTCCCAACTTCTGCAGCATCTGCATCTCTGAGTAATAAGGCCCACTAGGTACACTGTTATGTATTCAGAATAAGTAGTGAAGCAATCGTGCTTATCATGTTGTTACGAGCGCGTTGCTCTGTCGTTTGCTCCTCCCGCTTGCTACTCCGGCAGTCGACCGCGGCAGCAGCAGCATGCGGGAGTAGGACTTTATTATCCGGGTGCGATCACTCCGCTACTGTGATAGGTATGAGGAGGAGTAGCCGTTCTACCGTGACGGTTTTGGACCACGAGTACGAGACACTGCGTGTTTCATATTCGCTGTTGTTCTATCGATAGTGTTTGGTTTTTCTGTAGCTATGCACTATGTAGACGGGAGCTCCGAAGCAACCGACCGCAGGTCGGACGTGGCAGGAGCTGCCGCTGTTG